CCCCAGGGAAGGCCCCTGAGGAGGGTTCCTCTTGGTTAACAGCCCTTCGGTGGCACAACCCAGCTCCTGGCTGGAAGTGAAACAGCTCCGTGTCGCTGAGAGCCCGGGATGGGAGCTCCCAAAGCAGAAGAGGAGGCACCGGCAGGGAGATCGACCTCCAGAGATGCACAGAGATCCTTCCAACCTGCTGTGGCGAGCTGCCCGGTGCTGTCTGCCCCGTCCGAACACTTCTGTGCTGGGTTTCATGAGCTGGGGCTGGGGGGAAAGGGGAGCACACCAAGTGAGTCGCTACCCTGGACCCAAGCACTGGGGATGGAGCCTTGCTGTGTCCTGTCATTGTTGCTCCCAAGTGATGTCCTGTGCGCCCTCCTGTGCAAGCCCCCAGAGCCTCCATCCCTCTCTGGTCCTTGGGGCAGGGAGCCCTGGGCAGCTCCATTTGTGCAGCCCCTGCTCTGGTGACTTCAGCCCTCTGAGGAGATGGGGTTTGGTGGGAGGGCTGAGGGACATGCTGTGCAGAACGGGGCCGCAGGCTTCCCTGGTCCCCACAGCCTGGAAACTACAGTTCTGGCTGTGCTGGAATTAGCTGGGAATCTGCTTCCAGCTCCATGAGAGGGTGGGTGGGATCCTGCACGGCTGAGTCTTAAGCTCTGCCTGAGGCCTGCCTTACCGCTGGAGGGGGTTAGGGCAAGCACTAGGACAGCCCAGGTATGAAGCAGTGATGGTCCCTGGGCAGAACCAGCCTTGCTGTGGGCTGTAACCCCGCTGAAGCCTGGGGAGCTGCCTCCCCGTACTTTGCAGTATCCCACATGCATGCCCCAAAACTTGCTCTCAAAGGCCAGAGGAGAGCAGGCTTTCTCTGCAAGAACTGCACCACCTTGTTGGGTACGTACCCTGCTGTCACCTCCGCCTTTGGGGTGGGTGTCTGGGGACACGTGGGCAACAAGATGCCGTCTTGGGGCTTCCCAAGCATCCCATCCTATTGAAGTCATATTGACTATGATGCTAGAGCTCCTAGCTGCTAAATATTGTAAATAGGCATTTGTAGGATGTTGGATCTTGTCGATGGTTTTCCTGTTCTCTAATTTGTTTCCATATTTAAATGCAGTGTTAATAGTAATGTGTAATTTATGAATGTTCATGCTGGAACGACCCAACAGAGTAGTTTGTGTATTTTAAACTTGGTTTTTTTTGTACTAAAATATCTTTTCTGAAGGTGTCTTTTAATAAAAACAAGCCTGTACCTGTCCTGCCTGTGTTAGTTCCTCCCTGTGAGGGTGCTGAGGCGCTGGCACAGGGTGCCCAGAGAAGCTGTGGCTGCCCCATCCCTGGCAGTGCTCAAGGCCAGGTTGGACACAGGGGCTTGGAGCAAGCTGCTCCAGTGGAAGGGGTCCCTGCCTGTGGCAGGGGTTGGAGCTGGAGGAGCTTTAAGGTCCCTTCATCCCAAACCATTCCATGGTTCTGCTCTGTACTTTACCACCAGCAGATAGGTGGGAGCTGTGTGAGGAAACTTCACTTGCTGGGAGTTCAGCCTGAGCTGTGCTTCCTTCTGGCCCCAGCTTCCCCCTGCAGCCTTATGGAGCTCTCCCCAGACAAATCCCTGCCGTAGCCCCCAGCAGCAGTTTTTATTCTGGTTGAAATGTGTGGACTTCCCAAGGGAACAGGAGACCAGAACCAGGCCCCGGGGCAGCAAGTTCACAGTGTCAGTGCTGCTCTCCCTGAGGGCAGACCTTTGCCCCGGGGCCCTTCTTGTAGCTGACTGGAAAGCCGTGAACTCCCTGAGTAAGAGCAGAGGCTGCTGGTTAAAGTCAGAGCTGATCAGGACAAGCCCCCAAAGGCAGTGGTCTTTAACCTGTTCATACGCATGCACAAGCACCTCCAAAAGCACGTGCTGCAGCTTCTGGAGGATGGGTACAGAGGTAGGAATGGAATGAGCTGGGGATGCAGTCAGAGCCTTGAAGATGATGGAGGTAAGCTCCAGCTGTGCTCATGATCCCAGACATGGTGCTGGAGCTGAAGAAAACAGCAAGGAAGGGGGACAGAAACTGCTTATTGTAGAAAGAGACACGAGGCCGCTCTAGCCCCCTACAGCAGCTGTACAAACACCTCAAGGTGGCCTCAGCTCCTGTGCCTCTCCTCCTCCCCTGGGAACAAACCTGGGGTTAATGATAGCCCCAAGCCCAATTGCACAAACAGCCCATTATACCCAGCCCTGCGCTGTCTCTTCACTCCTGGCTTCAGGAATACATTTTTAATGTTCCATTTGCTTAATTCAAAGCTTGTTTGGTCCCTGGGTGCAGGAGCAGATACGAGAGTACTGTGTTTTGTTCTTAATGCTGAAGTGATGAGACTAGCGAGGGGTTTATGCATCAGATGGAATCTGGGCAGGGAGCTGTGCTGTGTTTATTCATGAGCAGAGGTTTTTGGTGCTCCCCAGTTTTTGGGGAGGAGAAGGCTCGGGGCGATCTTATGACTTTCTACAAGGACCTGAAAGGAGGATGGAGCCAGGAGGGGGCTGCGCTCTGCTCCCAGGGACAAGAGGAAACATTAAAGCTCCTCCAGTTCCAAAACCCTGCCACGGGCAGGGACCCCTTCCACTGGAGCAGCTTGCTCCAAGCCCCTGTGTCCAACCTGGCCTTGAAGACGCCAGTTCTGGGTCCCTGTTTCCATTTGAAATCCCCCCTCCAGCTCCTCCATCACCTCCAACTGCAGCCTGGAACATCTGGGAGCCCCATTGAGGATGTGGCAGCGCCCTCCAGTGACAGCGAGAGGAACGGCACCGAGCGCCGACCAAGGCATTCCCACCCTTCCCTGGGTTACCAAGCGCTGCTGCTCCCCAAAACAGGCTGCGCCTCACAGCAGCCCGGCCATCAGAGTCCACGCAGGCATCCGAGCCCTCCCTCCTAAACCTCGCCTCAGCTGCTGCTCATCCCGGGCCGTGTCGATGCCAGCTGAGGGCTCCGGGGTCTGGCCATGCTGGGAGAGGGCTTTTTGGGACCTTCAGTTCAGCCTGTGGCTGTGCTCTGGTGGGGTGATTCAGGAGTGGTGCGTGTGGAGCTCAGACTCATCAGCAGAAGATTCAACTGCAGCTCATTTGGACCTGGGGTTCTCTGAGCGTCGTTAAACCAAGATCAAGGTCATTGAGTCAGCCTCTCTGCTCCCAAGGAACAAGGGATGGGACAAGAACAAATGGCCTCAAGCTGCACCAGGGCAGGTTTAGATGGAGACGAGGAGCAACTCCTTCCCCAGTGGGTGCTCAGGCATTGGAACAGGCTGCCCAGGGCAGGGCTGCAGTCACCATCCCTGCAAGTGTTCACACACTGTATAGAAAAGGCCTCAGTGCCATGGGTCAGCGGTGGCCTTGAGAGTGCTGGGTAACGGTTGGACTGGATGAGCTCCAAGGTCTTGTCCAACCTTCTTGATTCCATGATTCAAAGAGGGTGTTGCGCATCAGGAAACAGTGTCCAGACCCAGCTGTGTTTGAGGCCCAGCAAAGTCTGGAGAGCCCTGACCTGCTGCCTGGAGCCCCCTCCACATCCAGCCTGCATCCAACTGGCAGAAACAAGTGCCGGGAGATCCGGCAGTGGGGCCTCCAGCCCTTTCCTATACAGCAGCAGAACCCAAACCCCCTCTGGAATCTGAAACGTGATGCAAAGCCAAGAAACAGCAAATTAATAACACAAGATGAGCTCTCCACCCGCCAATACTCCCCAGGCCCTGACACCCCCTCCCAGTGACTTCAGCTCTTCTGCAGGAGCTCAGCAGCATGGAGTGCGCTGTCCTGCCTGCGTTAGCTCTTCCCTGTGAGGGTGCTGAGGCGCTGGCACAGGGTGCCCAGAGAAGCTGTGGCTGCCCCATCCCTGGCAGTGCCCAAGGCCAGGTTGGACACAGGGCCTCGGAGCAAGCTGCTCCAGTGGAAGGGGTCCCTGCCCGTGGCAGGGGTTGGGGCTGGAGGAGCTCTAAGGTCCCTTCATCCCAAATCATTCTATGATGATTCTGTGATATCTTTTCTTGCGCGTCAGAGCAATAATTGCAGCAGCTGCTGTTGCAGGAGGGAGCTGCTGTCTTCCCTGCGAGCGTTTGCTGCGGCCTCACATCACACCCATCGGGCCAGAAGGTCGGGAGGGAGGTCACGGAGCAGCATCCTCGGGACGGCCCCCGGGATGCGGGGACGTTCCCGGGCTCTCCCCGGGGCTGGTCCAGCTCGGGGCTGGCCCCACCACGGGCTGCGCACCCGCCGAGGCCCCGCCCCTCCGTCGAGCCACGCCCACTCCTTTAAACCACGCCTCTCCCAGCCAGGCCCCGCCTCCCTTGCCCCGCCTCGGCTCAGGCACCTCAAACCCCTCCCTTTCCCTTTGCTGCCCTTCTGCGATTGGGCGGCTCCACCCGCCACTCAGAGACCCGACCGTTGCCTATTGGTGGTCGCTGACGGGTCTGGCGCGGTGCCCGCCTCCTGCGGGCTCTGGCGGGCGCTGATAGGCGGCGGCGGGCGCGGTGCCCCGTTCTCCCCCCCTCCCGGCTGGGCCGCGGTCGGTGCCTGGCAGCAGAGGGTCGGCGCCGCCATCGCCATGGGCACCCGGGACGACGAGTACGACTACCTCTTCAAAGGTACCGCTGCCCGCCCGGCCTCGCCGCTCCGGGCTCGGGGCGGCCGCCGCGGCCTTTGTGCGCGGGGCGGCCCTGCCCGGGCCTGGCGCCGGGCTGCGGCGGGGCTGCGCGTTGGCAGCGGGCGGTGGGGATCCGCGGGGGCTGGGCCGGGGGTGCCGCAGGTGGGGGTGGCCCCAGGATCGCTCCCGGTGCGAGACGAGCGGAGGAAACGTGGGTTCCGAGGGAGGAGGGCTCGCAGGTGCCCGCGGGGCGCCGGTAACGGGCCGGGGAGCGGAGCAGCATTGATCGGGCTTTGCAGGGGGTGGTGTTGATGCTTCTGTCCCCGAACCTGGGACGTTTGGGTTGCCCAGCACCTGCGTGCAGCGGCTGGGTGGGGACGTGGGTGTCTGCTGGCGCCGGCTCAGGTGGGTTTAGTGTCACTGGTGGGTAAGGGTTGCCGCAGGTCAGTGTCCTGCGTGTGTGAAGGTGCCTGGATCGAGCTGTTCCCTGCGGTGTCCCGCATCTCTGCCTTCGAGGCCTGAGCAATGGTGTGGATGGGGCTCAAACGTTTGCCTCCATGTTTGCTTCGTGCTCATCTGCTGGAAATCCTGGCTGGATGTGTTTGCCTGTTGTGTGTATTTGCTTTGCAGCCTTCAGGATAGGGTGGAAAACACCCCTGGTTTCTTCTCTGTCTGTAAAGGAGAAGACTAACCTCCAAAAACGTGCTCAGCTGTCTGGGGCTAAACTAGTTTCCTTCTGAAGTCAATCCACCACCTATTTCCCAAGTGGTTTAAGAGCCAGGAACTTGAAAGGCTAAGCATTTTACTTCTTTTCTTTCTTTCTGTGAATAGTCAATGAGACAAAACTGCAGTCACCTTGGAAATGCATTTTGAATTCTGTCTGGAGAGAAACTTCACCTAAAGCTATTTGGTCAGGACCCATCCTGCTGTGTTGCTGCTGCAGAGGAGCTTGGCATAGTTTGTAGCTCTTAATGAAAAATGGGGGGTGAGGGAATTGTCCTTTTCTGTGTATCTTTTGGGTAGGGGTTGTGGTGTGGCTTTGTTTTGGGAAATGAACAAACCTTCCTCATATTTTCCTTCCTTATTGGCTTTTTGGGACTAGGCAAGAATTGAGGCATATAAATGGGACCAAGTGGGGTGACATCTCTGCTGTAGGACTGTCTTCCCCTTCTTTTCCTCCTGTCCCAGCTAGTAATGGGATTAAATATCAAGGAGAATTGATGTCATGGAGAAAAATCATGCCCAGGGGTTTGATTGGCTTCTGGTTTAGCCCTTTCTTAGCAATGTACATGGCTTCTGAACTGTCTTCTATCTGGTTTGTGTAGTGTCAAAGGTAGAAATAGCAATGAAGACGTCTGGGAATGATTACTTTTGTTAAATTTAAGATTTGAGCACTCCCCCCTGTTTCCAAAGGAAATCTAGTTGGGACCCTGGTTTTTAGCTTTTACAGTTGCATTTGTGTCGGAAGTTTGCATCCTTGCGTTGTAATATTATTTTGGATGCTGCAGTTGAATGCGGTGTTGCTTTAAAGTCACAATTTTTACTTTAATTTTAATATAGTGGGAGATCTGGAATTGCTTGTGCAGGAACTTCTGTGATTTAGCATTGATTGAGCAGCCTGCTCTAGTAGAAGGTGTCCCTGCCCATGGCAGGGGGCTGGAACTCGATGAGCTTTAAGGTCCCTTCAGCCCAAACCATTCTATGATTCTATTAATCAGCTTTATGCGAAGGTTAAAAGGAAGAGGGCCCCATTTATTGTTAGTCTCTTTCATGTAAAATAGTGCCTATAAAACAATTGGCTGGGGTGAAAATAGCCAAGGGGTTTGTAGCAACAGTCTCTGTGTGAGCTGGCTCACTGTTCCTGGTGTTCTGTCATTCGTGGTGTCCATCAGCTTCTGCTTCAGGACCAGCCATTTCCAGAGGGAGAGCCCAGCATCAGCTGGCTTATTGGGTCTGGCACAGAGTAGGCAAAAACTAATTTAAGGTTTGGTGGCCCTCTGGGGATGTGAGTGTGGTCATGGTCAAAGCTGCTCTGCTAAGCTAGGGCCTGTTTATCTTTATTCCCAATTTCCCCTTCCTCTGCCTGCATCCCGACAGTCAGAACTGCTGCTTGTATGCATCACCACAAAGTGACTGAGCCAGCCTTTGGGAGAAGCTGGGTTTTGTCTGTGGGGCTGTGAGGATCTTGGGGAAGTGTTTTGGTGATGGAGTCCAAGCAGAGCCGGTGACTCCAGGCTCTGCTCCAACCGGGTTTGTAGCTGGGATGGTTAAGAAAAGCAGGAACTTCTCCTGATGAGTTTTGAATGGGTTTGATCTGGAACAGAATTCATGACTTTTTATTAGGAGTTAAAATATTGGAAGCCTTGTAGCTACTCAATGTGATGTGCACATGAATGTCCCTTTCCAGCAGAGGAGCTGTTATCAGGGTTTATTTTCAATCTGATGCTGGCTCCTGAGAAAGGAAGGAAAAAACGCCCAGAGAAAAGGGGAGTTTGCTTTTCCCTTTGTGGGATTTTAGAGTGCTCTGATGAGAGCTTAAGCCTAACAAATCTTGTGCTTATGACAAATTCAGATCCATCATCAATACCTGGTGACCTAAAGGACTTAACGTTTCTGACGAGCTTTTCTACTCTGTCAAGACTTGTGCATTTGAACAGGCAGTGCTGTCTGGTGGCCTGTTCCCAAATGCAGGAACTTTATCAAAGTCTAATCACTTGGACCAGAATCTGGAAGGTATCTTCTTGCTTGATTCCTGTATAAAACAAAAGTGTGTGGGTTCTGTCTTCTTGTGCACTTTCAGTCTTTGTCTCTTTCTCCTGACAGTGAAAATGCCTGTTTGATGCTCAAGGTTGAGTATTAAGGATGCACCACTATAAGAGGGAATGTTACTTACTGAGTTGGGATCTGGCTGCCTTCCTTTGTTACTTCTGCATCCAGTAACTCCTCAAAAATGCTCTCACAAGTTCTGCTAGGACCTGGAGCAGCCTGGGAAAGGGGGAGCCTGCAGCTTTGCCTGGTGATTGCCGCTGAGGAGAGGAACCAGCTAAAGTAGCGCAGGACCCCCTGAATTTCTTCCTGTGACAGATGGAGTTAATGACCTGAGAGCCATTTGTATGGCTGCTGCACAAAGCTGATGGCTCTAAAATGCCAGAGGATAGGAGGTGGCCAGAACCTGGAGAGGAGGCTGTGCTTTCTCCAGCTGCAGATTGACAAGAAGGTAATTCCCTTTGGAAACAGCTGAAGCTTCAGAGTTTTTCCAAGCTGGTCTAGCTTGTATGGTGGATGTTCTTACCTCTTCCTCATCATGGTCAGGAGTTTGAAGTAGGCTACAGCCTCCCCTAAGGCAGCGGATCACTGTGTAAGATGCGTGAGCTTTGGAACACCCAGTGGAATTAGTGATTAAAAACTTGGTCTGGAAAATAAAGCTAACAGAGTCCTAGAGTTAGAACTCCTCCTAAAATCTTTTTATAGTGTTCAAGGCCAGGTTGGACACAGGGGCTTGGAGCAAACTGCTCTAGTGGAAGGTGTCCCTGCCCATGGCAGCGGTTGGGACTTTAAGGAGCTTTAAGGTCCCTTCCAACACAAACCAGGCTGGGATTCTATGATTTTACCCTATAAACTGGATTCTGCTGTTTGCCAGTGAGGGCAGAGCAGTGAGGAGCTGCTTTAAGCTATCCCAGGTGGGACATTGTGGCTGCCTGTTCCTGCCTGTGGCTGTGGGACCCACCAGCTGCCTGTTCCTGCCTCTGTTGTGCTGTGACTGTTCAGCTGTGCCAGCACAATTGTCTGTCTGTGCTCTCGGCCAGATGAGGGGAGGGGGGAGTCTGGAGCATTTCAGCCATCTCCCAGCGCAGCTCCGGAGCTGTAACAGAGCTACAGCAGGAGTTTGGGAATGTGCTGGCAGGGTGTTGCCAGGGCTGTGTCCTGAAACAACAGCCTCAGCAGCAAAGTTATTATAACACTGAGAGATGAGTATGAGCCTTAACCCTGGGAAAACGCTGGTGAGCTCATGCTGGAAGTGTGGAATGACAAGAGTCATCTGTAATCTGTTGTGGAGGGATCAGGAACGTTTTCTGCCCGTGTCTCCCTTTCTGTAGGAAAACCAGATTGTTGAATGAGGAAGATCAACAGATTGGAAATGGAGTAGGACATATTCCCGAGGTTGAAGAAGCTTCCTGACAGTGACTGCCTTTGCTCAATCCAGGGTGCTGTTAGTTTGAATCCCAAAGGCATACGTGACACAGGATTTGCTGTGACTAAGGGAGGGTGGCTTAATTGCTTTTAGTCTGTTTCCCTTTTGTTGTTTCTTGCTCTAGTCAGTAATACAGGGATTTAAGAAAACGGAGCTAATGCACCTACACAAAAATAAAGAACGTGGAATGCCAAATCCTGGCTCTGCAGCTGTTGAGGATGAGGTCTCGTGGGGAGCCTGGTGCAGCGTGGCTGGGTGTGAAGCAGCAGGATGGCAGAGCTGCAGCCCTGAAGGAGGGGGAAACTCCTACTACAAGATGTACCTTTTATCTTTTCCTTCCAGTAAAGCTGGGGTTTGTGTGCTAGAGATCTCCCTGCACTACCGTTCCTCTGTTAACATGGCAACACCTCGTGTGGAGGAAGAGATTTTGAGCTCATCTTTTCCTTCTCCTGCAACCTCCTAGAGCTTGTTTTGCTGGCACAGGTTCTGCTTTGCTTTGTATCCTGTTTGTAGGATCAAGTGTCTCCTGTTTTCCCCTTTTTGTGGTAAACCTATTTATGAATTATTGAAATAAAACACCCTGTATGGCCCCAAAAAGGTCTGCAAAGAATTGTTTCATTCCACTTACTGTGGCTTTTTATTTTTTTTAAACTAGAGTAGGTTTATATTGTACACAGGCTTTTGTCAGCCTGTTGCTGTGTTCTTGATTTAGTGTTAACATGGGGCTTTAGGGGCTTGGGAAGCAAGCTGTGAGTAGTAAAAGGTGGTGTAACTTTCTCCAATGTTTATCTAGCTTGCAACTCCTCTGGGTCCTGCTCCACTGCAGTGTGTAAATGCTGGGATGAAGAATTACTATCTAAAATACTGTCTTTTCTTTCAGTTGTTTTGATTGGAGACTCTGGAGTTGGGAAGAGTAATCTCCTGTCCCGTTTCACACGCAATGAGTTCAACCTGGAGAGTAAGAGCACCATTGGGGTGGAATTTGCCACCAGGAGCATCCAGGTGGATGGGAAGACGATAAAAGCCCAGATCTGGGATACTGCAGGACAAGAACGATACCGTGCCATTACCTCAGCGTGAGTACCAGGGCTGTGCTCAGGCTGAGGGCAGAGTTCTAGCAGAGCTGGTGCAGAAAAACTTATGGGTAGAGAATTAATGAAACCCATTTGGGACACATGACAAAATCATTGTGACAGACTTCGATGTAGATCCAAGTCATAAGATAGGAAATGCTTTTGTGTTCTTTGATTAATATAATGAAACTAATTTTTAGATTCTAGTGGTATATTAGAAAAAAATGACCACTTAAATCAGAAGGGTGGGATGGTCTGTTCTGAGCCTTGTGATGTGGGTTTTTTACCTGCCCTGGATGTGTTATCTTCCATCAGAAATGGCACTCATTCCCCATGCTGAAGCTGGATACTGTTTGGCATCAAGCTGTAGTGTAGGAATGGTGGCTTCTGGTCTCCATTGCCCCCTCAATCTTGAGACTGAAGGCATTTTTAGAACAGTCTGGAGCCACAAACTCCCCTGAAACCTCAGTAACTTGGAATTAGTCACAGCCCTGAAAATTAGGTCCAAGAGTGCAGGCTGAATAACCAGTAAGAAAGGGAACTGTAGTACTACTGACTGTAGCATTAAGCACATACCTGATTAGAACAGTGGTGCTGAGAAGCTTTTATGCACAGCACCTTGTTAATCTAACCAGTGTCTTAAGATGTAACCTCTGGGTTATAGCTATTTCATGCAGGTAATAGGCAGAAGTATATCTGGGGGGAGAGAACCCTATTGACATGCCTGGTTATCCAGGGCATGTTCTAACCAGTGAATTGGTATCTAGTGTTACAGATGTATATTAGTTTTAAAAGGGACTGACTTGTTTCTGAATCATGCACAGACTGAGCCATTTGTGTTAACCTCAAGGTAAGTGGAACTTTCTCATGGGGATGAAACAGGGTAATGCAGAATAAATGGGAGAAGAGTACAAGAGCATGGAGCCCAAAGGGCTCCTCTAGGGAAGGAATGCAAAACAAAGGAATGCAGAAGCAGATGTAAGTGATTTCAAATTGCATCTTGTTAGTGTGTTTTTCAAATGTATTTTCTGGTTTGTGACCCTCAACTTTTTCTTACTGCTGGAAAAGCACAAAAACTGCTCCCGAGACTGGTTCCACTAATGAGAAGCAGTTCATCTTTAGTCCTGTGCTCCTGCCTCTCCTCTGTGCTGGCACAAGCTCTTGCTTGACACATGGCTGGGCCAGTTGAGCTTGCTGAGCCAGCACAACACCAACCAGCAGTAGAAAGGGAATGTTTTCTGCTGACTTGGTGTCCCAAATCAGTTCAGTGACATGGTAGCCAGGTGCTGGAGGAGCAGGGAAGTGGTGGGATTGCATGGAAGAGAGATATGGCTGTTACAGGATTGCTGGTACTGACTGGCTTGTGCTGTCCTGAGCCCTTGGCTTGAGTTGAAATGCACCCAACCTGTAGTCACCAAGATAAAAGCACCAGATAACAAACCACCAGGTTTGTTGGTGGAACTCAGGCAGAACTCTAAAGGGCTGTACCTTATGGTTTCAGATATTATCGTGGTGCTGTTGGGGCTCTTCTTGTCTATGACATTGCCAAACATCTCACCTATGAGAATGTGGAGCGCTGGCTAAAGGAGCTTAGAGATCATGCAGACAACAACATTGTCATCATGCTGGTGGGGAACAAGAGTGACCTCCGCCACCTGAGAGCTGTGCCCACGGATGAGGCCCGGGCTTTTGCAGGTTTGTTGACAGTGTTGCTGGGTTTGTGCTTTCTGAAGGTGATGATGTTGGTGCAAGCTGTTGGCCAGGACTGATCGTTCACCTCAGGTTTATTTTTGACCCTAAAAAAGGCTTTTAAGATTGCCTTTAAAGTGAAAATCTCTTGGTTTATGAAACGGTGTGTGTGGTTGGTTGGGTTTGTGGGTTTGGTTTTTGTTTCTTTTTTTCAATCTAGTGGTAGTACACGTGATTGAAACTGTCCTTGAGCTGCCTGATAGCTGAAGATGAAACACTTCCTCTAGCAGGGCTGGACACAGTGAGCAACATTGAGAAGGGAAAATGTCACAACAGAAATACAAAATATCACAACCTAAAATGTCCTTCCTTCCTCCCTTCCTTCCTAGAGGGCTGGTTCTGCTGAGGTACAGATCAGTGCGGACAGCAGCAAATGAATACTGAACCTTCTCGTAGGTGGTGGAGTTTCTGCTCCAGAGCACTGATGTCGTCAGAGTGTAGTGTCATCTAGTTTCATTTATCAGACTTGGGACTGGTAATCTTCAAGATTCCAGATTCCCAAGTCTTTCTTGGGAGAAATCAAGTGGGTTTTGTGAGCTGCTGCCACTGCATTACTTTACTCTCTTCTTTATCCTGCAGAGCCTGTACAGGCCACACATGGGACATTCAGCTTAATTTTGTGTGGCTGTCAAGCTTGGAGATGGAATTTAAATGTATAGCCTTTAAAATCCTTCTAGGAATATCGCTATAGTTTGCTTAAATGTGTTCTGAAGTTGGAACTAGATGACCTTAAGGCCCTTTCCAACCCTAACTATACTATAATTCTATGAACAAGGGCTGTGGTGAGAACAGTGTTCTCACAAGCAGTCAAAGGGACACTGCTGAAACACCAGCAGCTAAATAATGGGTGCACCAAGTTCACAATGTAACAGGAAAACAAAAAAGACTCTGCCCCATCTGGTTTGGCCTATAAATTAAGGTGAAAACCTCAAAGTAAATGTGAAATGAAGTGATAGTACAATTCTTAATTGAACCACTTGTTATCTATTACAGAGAAAAATAACTTATCTTTTATTGAAACTTCTGCTCTGGATTCAACAAATGTAGAAGAAGCCTTCAAGAACATCCTTACAGGTATGGTTTTGTTTTTTTGGAGGACCTTGAGAGGTAGTGGATCTTCTTCACGGGCATGTTTTGTAGTTACCTAGAATATTTGGGAAGTGTTAGGAATGATGGCTAGTTTGCAAGCCTTCCAACCTTAGCTTTCTGTTCTGCCTCCCACCCCACACATTGCTTTCTGCTCAAGAACCTGGAGGTTTCTAGTCTCCTGATAGCCATGAAGATGCTGCGAGGGCTGGAGCAGCTCTACTCTGGAGCCAGGCTGAGAGAGCTGGGCTGGGTCAGCCTGGAGAAGAGAAGGCTCCTGAAGGGGAGACCTGAGAGCAGCTCCAGTGCCTAAAGGGGCTGCAGGAAACATGGAAAGGGGCTTTGGACAAGGGCCTGCAGGGACAGGCCAAGGGGAATGTCTTTAACTTTCCAGAGGGGAGAATGAGATGAGCTCTTAGGCAGAAGCTCTTCCCTGTGAGGGTGCTGAGGCGCTGGCACAGGGTGCCCAGAGAAGCTGTGGCTGCCCCATCCCTGTCAGTGTTCAAGGCCAGGTTGGACACGGGGGCTTGGAGCAACCTGCTCTAGTGGAAGGTGTCCCTGCCTGTGGCAGGGGTTGGAACTGGAGGAGATTTAAGGTTCCTTCCAACCCAAACCAGTCTGGAATTCTGAGAGGGGAAGTGCTGTGTAATTTGTCAGTATGTTCTGTTTTTTTTAAAAGCTCTTTAAGATCCATACTGTGAACAGGAGCAGTTGGCAAGATCCAGTTCCTGTCTATTCCTTACCATAGCTGAGTTCTAGGCCAGTAAAATAAGCAAATAAACTGAACTCAACACACTGTCTCCTGGGCTCCCAAAAGTGTTGAGATTGACCAGCTCAGGTACAGTGGGGATGTGGCTAGTGAGACTATGTAGTCCTGAAAAGGCCATTCCTAAAGTGATTACCTGGGGGAGAATCATCCTTCTACGTGAGGAGAAGAAACCTGGGAAAATGTGCTGTGTAAAGCAGTGAGCTGAGGGCAACCATGGAGGGACTTGGAGGAGGGAGGAGGGTGGGAGCAGCAGGACAGGAGCTTCCTCACTGGCCACCAGTTTGAGGGATCACTAAAGGCTGGGGTGGGAACCCAAACAACTCACCAAAACTAAAGAAACCCCAAACCAGCAAAAAAAGCGGCAGGTAGTAGCCAAGGGAATGAGATCAGCTTTGGTTAAAGGTTTCTATTTTAAACATTGTAAATACGTCCACCTCTTAATAAACACATCAACAAACCCCACATAGTTCCCCATGATCTTGAATCCTCACTAAAGACTTTGGGTGTTTCTGTTTTGAGGCTGTGGCTGCATGAATGTGACCATAATATTTACCACAGATTTCCAGGGAGGTCCTTGCCCTTTTCCTGTTTCACAATAGAGGGAAGTTGGAGCAAGGACTGTAGTCAGTGAAATACATATATTAAAAAGTTTTCAGCTGAAGTTATTTCTACTACCTGCACTTGAAATGGTTTGTTTCTGAAGGCCTTGACCCTGGCAGTCTCTCTTTGGTGGTCACAGCTTTGTGCTTTTAGGCATAGATTAGTTTGAGTCAAATTCATCTCTCGGGAAAAGCATTTTTGGATCAGTATGGAGCTTTATGGGACCATGTGGCTTTTTACTGTCATAGGTGGGAGAACAGATTTGTTGCAGGGAGGCACTGCTGTCATTGGTAGTAGCAGCAGCTTGCCAGAAGCTAAAGTGTGAAATGGAGCCCTGTTACCACTGCTGCACAATGACGTTCTGCATCCTGTTGATTGGGGTGTCTTAATTGTGCTGCCTTGTTTTTGAATTAGAAATGATTCCCTGCTTTAGAAATGAGGATTCTCCTCGTGATCCAGAACGCCCCCCGTCTGCTGGGCTGATCCCCAGAGCATGAGCAGCAGGTCGAGGGAGGAGCCGTGCCCTGCAGAGACCCCCCCCTGCAGTCTTGATCCAGCTCTGGGGCTACAGCACAAGAGGGATGTGGAGCTGTTGGACTGGGATTGGAGCAACCTGCTCCAGTGGAAGGTGTCCCTGCCTGTGGCAGGGGTTGGAGCTGGATGAGCTTTAAGGTCCCTTCCAACCCAAAGCATTCCATGATTCCTGCTCCTTTCTAATTTAAAAAGCTTTTTAATAATACCCATGTTCATGGAGTCATCGAACAAGAACATGATACAAAGCACTGTGGTGGAAGGCAGTAAGGAATCTTGTCTTAATAACTTTTCCAGACAAAGCTGACGTGTCCATTACAGAGCTGGAAAGCCAGCCAGATGTTACATACCACATCTGCTGAAACTAGATTCCCTTTCACAGCTCTCAAGTTAAAATCTTCCTTGTTCTTGGGTTCTTGCATCACCTCTGACAGCTTGCTCTGACGTGTGCTGTGTTGGAAGGCCACATCCTTCTGTGCTCTTAGCAGTGTGTTCTCATTGCAGAGATCTACCGCATTGTTTCGCAGAAGCAGATTGCAGACCGCTCTGCGCACGACGAGTCTCCTGGAAACAACGTTGTGGACATCAGTGTCCCACCAACCACCGACGGACAGAAATCCAACAAACTCCAGTGCTGTCAGAATCTGTGACCTCCTGTAGATGACTCCTGTGCCCGCCAAATTCGTCTGTGCTTCATTTAGAAACTTGTGTGCACTTCTTATCTCCTGTGATTCAGTGACTCCCTCTTCCCTCCTTTATCCCATTCCCAAGTCCCATCCCCCTCCCTTTCATCTTAGAGCTTTAATCGTAGGGCTAACATCCCCCTGCCTCTGAACTCCCCTTCCATGTGGTGACTTTTGGGCTTGAAATGTAGGCACTGATCTGATAGACATGTTTGTGTTGGAACATCTGCTGCTGGATATTATCCCATGAAACACTCTCCTCAAAGGTTTTTGAGGGTTTTTCGGGAGAGAAACCATGGGGACTTGACTATAACAGTTGAAGAAATAACTACATGTAGGTGACAAGGTTTTTCCCTCCCAGTGTTGTGTTTCTGTAAACATGGGGGAGAAATTAAAATAGCTGTCCTACCTACCAAATGCTCTGTTTCTGTCCTGTTCAAGTCTCACAGCGAGGTTTTTAGTCTCTGCACACACATAAGAACTCTGAAAATAACATTACTTTATATGTAATTACCCCTAATACAGTTTGTCTGGCTGTGGAGCTTACAGTTTCCTGCTTGGGGAATCTTCCTCTCTTCTTGTTTTATTTGGGAACAATGAAGTATGTCTGCATTGCTTTCTCTGCCACCCTGAATGCCTGTGCTGTGTGTGCAGGCTCTCTGATGTGGCTCAATATTTATTCACGGCTTCTGTTAATCAGTTCACGTTATTGTACAGTAAGTGCCAGCATCTTGATTTCAGAAACCTTTTGCAACCTGTACAAGTAGCTTATTTTGTACTGTAGGTCAGTGTTGGAAAGCAGGAGCTTCTGTAGTTCCAGGGTTGGTTTTTGTTTGTTTCTTTTGCATGCTGCTTTTTTCTCTAGATCTCTCCTACCCTGTTTGAGTGAGTGAAGCAATATGTTCATGTCACCTATAGACCTGCACTTGTAAGGGGTTTGGTTGTTGTAGAGGAACATGATAATACATTTTGTAAGCCTTCTGCAGAACCATCTTGAACTTTCTCTTCGTGACCTTTCACTATTGACCTTGCGCATAATCTTCTTGACCTCTACTAAAATATGTAATATTAAGACTTCACATAATAACTACTAAGCTGTTGTTTTCCTCTCACTCAGTTTTACTGACTGTAACTCTCAAATGATTGTACTTCACCTGATGGAAGGGATTTGTCATCAGCAGGGCTAACTACTACAGTACTTTGTTTTGCTGAATGGGAAGAATGTTAACACAGCGTGGTGTAGTCAGTCTCTTGCTAGCTTGTGAACATCTTCTGTGATGGCTTTTCATCCTTCACTAGCTCTTACACACTTGGCATCCCCTCTGGTACATGCTGAATGTTATATGATGAGACAAATATTGGGTGAAACTATCTAAAGGAAGAGGTGGAGACCATCTGCTGTTCTCTGAAGCAATTTGCAGTGAATTTTTGCTTTGTATTCTGAGACTGTACCTCACTTGATGCATATTAGTGAGTTAATTTTTCTTTTCTGATACAAAGCAAATAGGAAAGTGAATTGTTCTTAAAGGGGAAATCTGACATTCCAGTCTCAACTGTTCTGTCTGGTTGTGTAATAAAACTAAGGGCGGTTAACTCTGATGGTTTTTCTTTTCTAAGACTTCCAGACCAATGACTTTAATTTTGTACTGTCTGCATCCAGAGGGCTGTAGCTCATAGCAAAGGTGGACATGGTGCCTAAGCACTTCCAATTTTCACCTTTGTTTATAGAGGATACCTTCAAGGTGAAGGGGTTCCTGCTTGCAGCCTCTTCCCATTGAGTGAGGATAAGTATTCCTCTTTAGACTCTGTCCTAGAGGGGTCCCAGTTCAGGATGCACCTTTTAACACTTTAATAGACTCCTGCTGAGAGAAGATGCAGCCAGTGGGAACTGGGGCATCTTCTTTTTGGTGGTTCTAGACCAAAATGAGATGTGCAGGGCTGACAGATAAGCACCCCATCAGAGTGGAAAGTTCAGAGATACTGAAAATACTTCGTTCAAGAGCAGGTGGACACTAATGGAGCTGAGCTCCTTAATTTTTGAACAAAACTCTTTATTAAATGAGTTGAAATAGTGTGAGGAAGAATCATGCTGTTAAAGGCAACTTAGTTGAGGGTGTGTATGAATGGGTTTACTCTGCAAATCCTATTCTTAACATGAAGTTTCTAAATCAACCTGGTGTCCTGTAAGAAGCTGAGAAGCTGTTTAGTCACTTCCTTGTCTCAAGGATTTTCTTCAGTCTTTGGCTTTGTGGGAGACTCTAAATTGCCTCGGAGTCCAAGCAAAAGGCCCATGTCTTAGGGCTCAAGTGCCATTAAATTATACAGATGTTGAAGAGCCCTTGTACAACTTTATTGTGCATTGACCAAACATCCCTCAGAGCAGGTGGATTTTGAGCCTGTGCTGTTCATGCCATGGGGGCTGGGTGGTTTTGAGCTCTGCTGTGTGTTGTGGAAAGCCTTTTGCTGTAGGGCTGTTTGGTGCACCCATAAAGTGGTTTGGTGGTGAGCACACAAACAGGTAACTGGTAAAATTAAGTTCATTGGGTAGACTAGCCTCAATCTAAATGCTTATCTTCCTCTTGAATCAGATGTTTACAGACTTAAGCGAGCTAAAGTCTCCACCAGGAGTTTGTCAATAGCCTGTACAGGCCAAGAAAGCTTGGTTCATAGGAAGGTTTGGAGCTCTACACTTGCATCAATGTAAAAATCCAGTTGATAAGTAACTGTTTGCTACTTTTTGTGTGTGCTCTGGAGACCATCAAGGCACTATGATCCCTTCTCAACATCTCTAGGAGGTCAGAAGCACTGCTGCATCCTAAACATCCCCCTTGTTTGGGTTTCTTTACAGGCTGTTCTGTTAGATCACCTGCAATGATCCCCCAGTACATGGAAAGGCTGGTAACAGGGTATTCGTGTGTGAACAGGATGCAGCAGGGTGGGAAGGATGTACAGAAGGTATTTTTGTTTCCTTACGCTTTGATTCCTGCATGCTGTACTGTTCCAGAAGTTATGGATGTTATCTGTCTTGGGGACTGGCAGTGGATGAGTCTTACCTGTGCTTGTTATTGTTTCCTTTCCAAGCATAAAGGAAGGCCTTGCTTAGAGGTTCTAGACTCTGTAGCATAAAGAAGATCCTTATGAAGTGACTCAGTCAGTTAGGGAGGCCTTTTTCCTTCAGAAAACAAATAAGACCCAGTATTAAAGCTAGGGGCTGAAATTGAAGTAAGAAGAGAAAAATCAATCAATTACAGGTGAAGACTGACTGTCCTTAAGGTAAAACACAGTGAATCAGGGCTGAAGTTGTATTCCTTTGACTTGCAGACTCTTGATAATGAATGGTGATTAATGCAGTATCTCCAGGGCTTCACTCTTTCAATAGCTAACAGTTAACTTTACACAGGTCAGACACCGAACAGCAGTGTTGTCCATCAGGCTTTGTAGGCTATAACCAGCACTGGGCCTTTATGCAACCCGGAAGAGAAGTTCCTTTCCTTTACTTTCCCCCCGGTTCCTGTGTTAAGTGCAATTTCACTCTGTAAATACCGCCTCACTCGGTTTTTGTGCATGGTTACGCTGTACTGTGGATATAAAGATTGCCAAATCATACCGTGTGTCCGACGTTCTGTTCCTAAACGCCGGTCGAGAAGGAGGTGGGGACGGAGCTTTGGGCCTGGGCCCTCGCCGGGTCCGCTCCTGCCTCAGCCGGTGGGGGGCGCTGGGCTGAGGGGAACGGCGGGCGGGAGCTCGCTACCGCCAGTACCCAGCACCGGGCGCGGCGGGGAGGGGGCGCGGCGGGGAGGGAGCCCGGGGCCGGGTCGTGCCCTCCCGGAGCCGCGGCCGCCTCAGGGAGCAGCGGAGGGACCCGGCGCTGAGGAGACCCGGGATGGGCGGGGCCCAGCTGCCTTGCAGGGCTCCTATTGGCCAGCTGCTGTTGCCAGCGAGGTCGCGTAGCGACGCCGGCCGGGTTCCCTGAAGGCCCATTGGCCACGCCGGAGCCGGCGTCAGCGCAGTGAGGTGCGGTGATTGGCGGAGACCGCGGTGGAGGGGCGGGCGGTCGCGGATGGGCGGTGCCTGGCGGCCGCAGGAGCCGGTGATGGGGCGGCGCGCGCCGCGCTGAGGGGCCGCGGGCGCCGGGACCGCAGGTACCGGGCGGGGCGGGGCGGCACCGGCGGCGGCAGCGCCCGGGGTGGGCCCATGGGCGGGGCCCCGCTGCGGGCGGGTCCGCGGCGGCTGAGCCGCGGTCCGGCCGTGCCGGGGGGGGGGGAAGTGGGAGCCCTGACAGCCCTCCTGTGCCCTGGCCCCGCTCGGGCGGGGGTTGGATCCGCCCGTGGGGGTGTCCTCAGGCGTCCCGGGGCCGGGGAGGGCGGCGCAGACCCCTGCCCGCCCAGCGGGTGGGTTTAGCGAGGGCAGCGCTGCGGCCCGGGCCTGCGGGTGTTGCGTGGAAACAGAACCTGGGAGAGAAGCGCTGCGGGCCGGGGCTGTGGGCAGCCGGGTTTGGTGTCTGTTCGTCAGACTGCGTGTCCATGCGGGTACGTGGTTGTTGGAAGAGAATTCGTTGCAGGTGGCCTCCTCTGCCTGGATTTATTTCCCCTCTTGGGGTGTTACTGTCTCTTCTGAGATGATGCTGCAAGGGCTGAAGCAATTCCATGATTGATTCCAATCATGGAATGATTTATGTTGAAGGGACCTTAAATTTTCCAGCCCCACCCCCTGCCACGGGCAGGGACCCCTTCCACTGGAGCAGCTTGCTCCAAGCCCCTGTGTCCAACCTGGCCTTGAGCACTGCCAGGGATGGGGCA